TGGAGCAGAGGAGAAGGAGCCCGCAGAGCGGAAGCGGGCCCGGGGGCAGAACAAGAGCAGGCCGTGGATGAAACCCAGCCACTACGAGCAGAGCAGGCTGTGCCCGTCGGTAATGCAGGTAGGGTGCAGGGGCCCGGCTCTGCGCTGCTCTGGGGTGGGAAATGTGGGACACCGGTGAGCCCTTCCTGCTCAAGGGCTGCATTTGTCTTTAGTCTGGGAAAGCGCCTTGAAGATGGAGCCGCACAGGGCAAACTCCCAGCAGGGAGAATGTAGCAGGGGCTGTGCTGGCAGAACCACCTCCATTGGCTGGCTGGAGGAGGGTGAGGTGGGATGAGCTGAGCAGGACAAGCTGAGCGGAAGGAGTAAAGCATCAGCTTCCCTTAAGCAGTAGTGCTAAAGTGCCCCCTCAAGTGGGTACATCGCTGCCCTTCTGTGTCGTGTTCCAGCAGTCAGCTTCCTGGGAGCGTTTCATGGAGTGCCCGATGTCCCCCAGGCAGCAATGGGTGCTCAGAGCAGTTGTGGTCCCTCTCTGGCCTGGGGCAGACCCAGGCTCCCCTTGCTTGTGCTGGAAGGTACGGGCATGCCTGGGCAGGCAGGCAGAGGGCAGAGGTCTTAACCTTCTCTTTATCGTTTTAAGGGCTGTGCAGAGAAGTGCCGCTTCGGCGCACGGTGCCGCTTCCTTCATGACATCGACGAGTACATGGCCACAAAGCCGGCTGACCTGGGGCGCAGCTGTGTGCTCTTCGAAACCTTCGGCAAGTGTGTTTATGGCGTCACCTGCCGCTTTGCCCAGGCCCACCTCGGGGATGGCTACCAGAACATGGTCAACACGGACCTGGTCAAGCAGTGGGAAGGGAAGTCACTGGTGAGGAACAACCTCTCCAAGGACCTCCAGCACCGGCTGCGCAAGAGGAAGTTTAGCTTCAAGAAGGCTGATGAGTACCTCCGTGGTCTGACCAAACCCCATGGCGATGGTGGGAAGGGAGGCAAAGCCACAGGGTGCTCCGCAGAGGAGCACGAGGTGTCCAACTACACAGCTCCCCAGGAGGGCCTGGGAGATAGCCTTGAACGTCCTGTGCTACTGGAGCAGGGAGAAGCTCCCAAACCAGGCACCTTGCAGAGTCCCATCCCCACAGTTGATGAGGAGGCTTCCTCCGTCAAAACAGTGGGCCCGGTGACAGATGAAGATGTTATAAAGCTGCGGCCGTGTGAGAAGAAGAAGGTGAGAGTCTGGTCGAGGGCTGCGGTCCCTTGTGTACCTGTCAAGTGGTTGAGATTGTGCTTGGGAAGACAGAAGAGACCTCTTAGCTGGCTGAGAGACGGGCAGAGGACAGAACTGCCTGGGGACTGCGTTACTGTCATGAGGGGAAGGATGCAGGAAGGTGAGCTCTTGGGGCCATGGAGTAGCCCTTGGAAGGGTGAGAAGCAAGAGAAGCTGCAGCCCTTTGCCCATGAAGGAGGGTAGGAGGCTGAGCTGTCGGTGAGGGTGGAAATGATCTGCACGGATCGCCGAGGCTGGGGCTGGTTGGTTTGTCTGTAGTGCACAGTGCTCTCCTGGGGTGAGAGCATTGTCTCCTTCTTCTCCTCCTTGTCACCTCCTCCCTTGCGTCCGTTAGCCAGTCTCACATCCCGCTGTAACTGCTTTGAGTTTCCTCCAGGCTGAGCAGTAAAAAGAAATGGAGCAGTTCACGTTTCTGGTTCTTTTATCCAAATGATACGTTCTCAGGGAATAGCTGAGGTTCTCACACCAAACCAGTGATTTCCTGGATTTCCCTCTGAGTTTTACCCGAGACAAGTGATAAAATCGCTAACTGGAACATCTTCCTGTTTAACTGCTGCTAGTTCAGCTCTGCTAATGTGCTCTTCTATTGTTGTTTTCCAGTTGGAAATCCAAGGCAAGCTCTACTTGGCTCCACTGACCACGGTAGGTAGATAATTCTCTTTTTGTCACAGTTTGCCATTGCCACACTTGGAACAGAGGAAATCTCCTGACAAAGAACCTCTCTGCTGTCTCTTTCAGTGCGGTAACCTCCCTTTCCGAAGGATATGCAAGCGGTTTGGGGCAGAGGTCACCTGTGGAGAGATGGCTGTGTGCACAAACCTGCTTCAGGGCCAGTCCTCCGAGTGGGCTCTCCTCAAACGGCATCCTACCGAAGATATTTTTGGGGTGCAGGTGAGTGCTATCGTCTCGATAACCAGACAAATGATAAATCACTTCTGAGGAGAAGAGCTGCTTCTTGACCTCATGTCACCTGTCCCCCTTTGGTAGCTGGAGGGAGCGTTTCCAGACACGATGACCAAATGTGCAGAGCTCCTGAACCAGACCATTGAAGTGGACTTTGTAGACATCAATGTCGGGTGTCCTATTGACCTGGTCTACAAGAAGGTAAGAAGACATTCTGCTCCTGCCAGTCTGGTCCAGAGCACTCAGTTCGTTTATGGGCACTAGAGTTCTGTGAGAAGGCAACTAAGCTGTTGAAAGAGCAGGGAATGGTTAGCTGTCTCTCCCTGGCAGCAGGCAGAAGTTCAGAGGGAAAAGGGCTGTGGGTTTTTGTTTTGGTTTTTGTTGTTGTTGAAGAGTCCCCTTTCTCCAAGTCTTGAGATGCTCCAAATCTTACCTGCGTTCTCTGAGGAGAGGGCTGCTGTTGAGCAGCTCCAAGGAGGCTTTTCACTGTGCACGGGTGCAGAGTCTTGACTCTGCCATTTTTTGTGCCCCAGGGAGGAGGCTGTGCTCTGATGACTCGGTCCAACAAGTTTGAACAGATTGTCCGAGGGATGAATTCGGTGAGTCAGAGCAGTTGCTGGCAGCGGGAGATGAGCTGATGGAGCTGACTCCTGCCTCAGCCTGGCCTCACTCTCCCATTTCTGCAGGTGCTGGATGTCCCACTGACTGTGAAGATACGGACAGGCGTGCAAGAAAAGATGAACGTGGCTCATAAAATAATCCCCAGGATCCGGGAGTGGGGAGCATCCATGGTCACGGTACAGGGATACTTGCTGTGGTGTGAGGTTGTGGTGTGACGTTGTTGACTGGTGTCTGGGGAACTCTTCTTCTGTGTCAGCCTAGAGCACGCAGTGGGGGTGACCTTACCCTTCCCCATGGCTGAGCAGCTCTTTCAGACACCTTTGACCAGCTGCATACTACCTTTTAGTGTTTTCTGCTGACTATAACAGAAAAATTCAGATGCAGAGTGTGTTTTCCTAGAAGCTCCTGAGTCTTGTATCCATTCCAAAGGGAGATGGTTCTTGCAGTGCTCTGGAACAGAGGTTTCAGCCAAATAAGCCTTGTTCTAGCAGGGCTGGGGAAATGATGGGACCGTCTCATTTGCATGGGGAGGAGGAGTTTCTGCCCACAGTGAATATTCCCTTTCAGAGGGAACAGTCACTTCTTGCTCTGGCTTGAGACATGACTCAGAAAGCATCCAGCCCTTTCTCAGCTTTGCTGATCACTTCCGCAGCCTGGTCTGTTAGCAGAGGGATCTTTACCCCAGCCTGGTGTCGTTGCCTTTGCTGAAGCACGTTCTTCCAGCCCTGCTGTTCTGCCCTGCCTCCTCTGGGGCGTTTGCTGAGATCTCCCTGGCGCTTTCTTCCCCAGCTTCACGGCCGATCCAGGGAACAGCGGTACACGAGAGGTGCGGACTGGGACTACATAGCAGAATGTGCTAAAATAGCGAGCCCCATGCCTCTTTTTGGTACGTGTTTCTGCTGTTTTGTCATGTGGACTGAAAGTTCCACGTGTTTGATTTGAAATATCTTTAAAAAAGAAAAAAACAGGCTCCCAAGGGCATTTAGCCTGGGGCAGAGGTTGGAGCATCCCTCTACTGCTTCTTACACTATGGAATGAGTTACCAGTAGCTTTTGTGCAGCCCAGATCTGCCCGTGTACTTGGGGACATGCATGACAAGCACTGAGCAAAGTAGGAGAGGAGGGGACAGGCAGGGCACAAATCACTTTGGTTTTAGCAGGTGCTTTCTCTTTCGGGCACTGTGGCACAGACAGTCCCAGTTAAACCTTTGGGGTAGGAGTTGGGAGTGGAGAAGAGAGGAGAAGGCTCTCCTTTTCCTTGGAAGGGGGAACATTAATCAGAAACGTCCCTGGGAGTCTCTAAATGTGAGCAACAGAGCTGCTTTGGACAATCTGGCTCTTGGACCCTGTGTCCATTTTGAGTTTTATCCCATGCTTGGAGTAACTCATTTTGACTTGCCCTCGTGTATCACTTTGATCTCTGGCTTCTTCCTTCTGGACAGGAAACGGTGATATTTTGTCTTACGAAGATGCTAATCGAGCCATGCAGATGGGCGTTTCAGGAATTATGATTGCAAGGCAAGTGCCTGTGTTTTCTCTTTGCTTCTGAGCTCTGTTGGTGCAAGAGTAAAGAATGAATTTAAGAAATACCTAAACAAACCCAAAACATGAGAAGTTTTAATCTTGGTGAAACTACTCGTTTAAACTTGTTAAATCAGTTTGCATCTGTGGGAAGTTGGAGCAGCTTCTTGTTGAAATTGAGAACCAAAATTAAAGCGGCTTTGGCTGGCAAATAAGTGCTGGAAAGTCTCTTAAATCAGCTGACGTGTTCAGAAGCTGTCACATCCCAGATACCTTAATTGGGATGTGACGTGGTCACGGGCAGGGTCTACAGATACAGTGGCAGGAATGAGGCAGAGGTGACTTGGATTAAGATGAGAACGCACTGAAGGTCTGTGGGTAAATAAAAAACTTTTTTCCATAGTTGGGCTCATTGGTAAACAATTGGATAGCAGAAGTATTTACTGCTCGTCCTGTGCGTGGGCTTTTATACCTTGTATGACTTACTAGGGAAAAAAAAATAAAAAGAGAGAGGCAGGGGAAGGGGGGAGAGAGAGAAAGAGAGAGATATATCACTGGTCTAGGTTCCAGCATTGGTCCAGCCAATGGGTGTCTCTAGTGTGTAGGAGTGCTCACTCACAAGTCCCCCCCTGCAATGGCACTTTCCTCCTCCTTTTATGTCTGCCATTCCCTACGGACTGCCCCTCTGCCCCAGTGGCAATTTCGTCTCCTGAAACTGAGAGGGCTGAGCTCAGAGTTTGGCTTCAGGGTTTTTGTACCTTGTGAGTGTTTGAGACATTCCTTGGAAAGCCTCAGAGAATCTCCATCCCCTGTTCCCTTCTTGAGTATTTGTCTCCTGCAGTTGTCGGCACCTTCTGAGCAAACAGTTCATTGTTCCAGGGGGTCACAAGTTTGGCCTTGGTGTTAGATTGTTACAGTTCTTCCATGTTGGTCTCCTACAGAAGCATCCCTCATGGGAATAACTGCACATTCTTTTTGGCTACAGAGGGGCGCTCATCAAACCATGGCTTTTCACTGAAATTAAGGAACAGAGACACTGGGATATCTCCTCCAGTGAGAGATTTAGTATCCTCCAAGACTTCACCAACTATGGCCTGGAGCACTGGGGGTCGGATACTCAGGGAGTGGAGAAGACCAGGAAGTTCCTGCTGGAATGGCTCTCATTTCTGTGCAGGTAATTCTCTGCAGCTGAGAGGATCTTTAACACGGCAAGCCTGGACCATTTGAGCAATAGCACCCATTGCCATTACATTCCATTGCAGGTACATTCCAGTTGGTTTATTAGAATACCTCCCTCAGAAAATTAACGAGCGGCCACCTTACTACATGGGAAGGGACTATCTGGAGACACTGATGGCAAGCCAAAACGTGGACGATTGGATTAAAATAAGGTAATAAAGCACTGAATTTCATTTAAATTGCTAGGAAGGGCCATGACAGAGCCTCACAAAGTGACCATGCCTGTGTGCATCCTCCAAAAAGGGGGTGATGACTTTTTCCCATCAGTTGAAGAGATTGTAAGAAAGCAGCAAGGGTTAACCAGGCCTTTACTTCAAGGGTTTAACCAGGCTTGGAGTTGCCATGAAGAGCTCTCTCAATCCCTGTATCTGCTTCAGCAGGTCATCTGGTACCCACTGCAAGTGTAGAAGAGCTGACTCTCTTGTGACACGCTGTTCATCCCAGGACAGTCATAGGAACCCCAGAGGAGAGCGCAGCAATGGGACGTCTTGGGCTTTCAGCACCAGATCCCTCCGTGCTCTGCCTGGACAGTCCCACCTTGCCAGGTGGACCATGCCAGGCCCATACAGATGCCATGCAGGAAGGCAGTCCCCCTCCCCAAGTGAGGAGAGCTGAGCATTTTCCCCATTTTTCAGTACCAGAGTTCTGAGTTCATGCCACAAAGTGCAGGAAACTGTTCTTCCCCACATCTACGAGTCCTCAGGCACTTGAAATGACTTTGCAAGCTCAAAGTCAGCTCAAATGAGATCTTGAAGCAGCCAGCTGCTGTTTCCCACTTCATGGAAACAGAGATTAGCAAATAAACCACATTACAAGTACATGAGGTTTTGATCAGACTTTTTAAAGGCTGTTTTTCAAGCAGAACCTGCCCGCATTAGGCTGCACAAAGCTTTGTAACCTGTGCTCTTTCCAGTGCCATGTAATAGAAGTTTATAGCCGTAAGAACACAAAATTTTAAAGCAATTTAGATTTATTCATTAAAGCTCGTTTTAAGGAGCCACTAACCAGAAGCAGGGTTCTCTGAGCACACTCTTTATTTCTGCTTCGGTGCTGTAGATTCAGGCTCTTGTCAGGCAATTCTGTGCCCTGCTGGGCTGCTCTCTCTGACATGTCTTACGGAAAGTTTTAGGAATGCTGTATGGAACCAGCACCCAGGAAATAAATGAAGCCTCCTTGACTCTCAAGAAAATTACTCTGCACCAAAAAGACAACGTGTTCCAAAGTGTGAAAGAGTTGAAATCTTAAGCCAGGGTAAATCTGATGGCAACAGACCTGACTGACATCAGTTTAGGATCTGACCGTAATACTCTTTGGCACTAACAGGGTTTCGGCTCCGCACAAGCACAGCGAGAAGTTGGGAGGAGCTTTTTCAGAGGCTTGTGTTGATTTTAGGCATGTCATTGCCAGTGGTGAGGCTGGTATTCAGGTCACCAGACTTAGGAACTCCTTTCAGCGTTGGCATTGACTCCGGATGCCTCTCCAGCAAGAAGGGCATTGGCCTTATTTGGCAGCTGTGTCCCTCCAGTGCCATGGTCCAGGGTTAAAGCTCGGTACCAGAGGTGGTTTTGTGCAGCAGCCCTAAATTTTGGGGAGGATAAAGGCTGGTTTGATACATCTGACTGCAGTCACTGTTGAGCCATAGAGCCATAGCATGGCCATGCAGCAGCTGGGTACCGGTGGCTCTATTGTACTGAAAACAAACCTCTCCTTGATTTTGGTTTTGGTTTTATTTGTCTTCTTTTCTTTCTTTCTTCCAGTGAGCTGCTTCTGGGACCTGTACCTACCAACTTCACCTTCCTGCCTAAACACAAGGCAAATTCCTACAAATAGGGCTGTAGGAATGCCCCATGGCATCGAGTCAAGACGAGGCTTTGGGACGGTGTCTGTCAAGGAGTGGGGTTACTCAGCTATGCTCCGAAATGAAATAAAGTTTTATGTTTTTAGAAGCACGGTTGCCTTCATGCCCCCAGCCTCGGTTCCTGCCACAAGTTACGCAGCAGATGGCCCTGCACTATCTTGCAGCCAGAGGTGCCTCACTAGCAGAGAGCAGTTAATTAACGTGACAGAGGCCAGGAGAGATCTTTGGCCTCTGGTTCAGAGCAGGAGTTGTCCCAACTGCCTCAGGCCTTGCACCCTTCACACAGTGGGAACGTAAGGCCTCTATTCCTACCAGGAGGTGTTTGGTAGTGCTACACCCTGCAAGTAGGAGGAGGGGATGTACTAGCCCAATGCCTGAAGTCCTATAGAGCACAAAGAGCCCCAGTATCTCATTATGGATGAGCCAGGTCCTTGCACTGCTTGGCTCAAGCAACTTGTTCTTTCTCCCCCTGAAAAATACTATTTAAAGCAGAAAGCACTTGCACCCACTGCCCCCAGGAGCTGCCTGAAGGGGCCAGGGCCAACCCAGCCCCCCAGTACCCTTTCCCTCTGCCGGCTCCTTCAGTACTCTGGGGTGAATCCCATCAGGCCCCATGGACTTGTGAATGTTAAGGTGATACAGCTGTGCCCTGGCAGTTTCAGTGTCCAAACAAATGGAAAGTCACTGTTCCCGCACTCGTGGTCCTCTGCCTCAGGGGACCGGCCAACCTAAGGTCTATCAATATTATTAGAGACTGAGGAGAAAAAAGCATCAAATCCCCTGCTTTTTCTTCATCCCTCTTTTGTCAGGTGACCAATGTTTTCTTTAGACTTCCTCTCACTATCAACACATGTAAAAAAGCCCTTCTTGGTGTCTGACCCAGTACTGGCCAGTTTCAACTCTAATCCAGCTCGGCCTTTCACGTCTTCTCCCTGCATGTAGGAACCACGGCTCTGGAACCATCCTGCGAAGCCCGACCTCACTTCCACAGATGGTACAACTCCTTTCTCCACTCGAGCTCTGCGAGGAGTTTCCTGTGCAGCCAAGCCGGCCTTCTGCCCTGCTCGCTTAACTTTGGACATGGGAAAATTGCCTGCTCCTCAGGTTCTCAAAGGGACTCCCTAAAGGCTGACCGGCAGTCACTGCCCCAGAGCCTGGAACAGTAGATTCCCAGGGGACTCTGCTCAGCACCTCCCTGAAGAGCATAACAGTTGCTCTCTCAAAAGTCAGGGTAGCAATTCAGCTCTCCCTTTTTCTCCTTACACCGACCATTATAAAATTAACCATTTCATGATCACTGCGGCAAGGAAAATCCCAGCTCCCATGAGTCCTTCTCCACTCACACCTAGCAAGTCTAGGAGGGCACCTTTCCTAGTTGGCTCCCTGAGTCCTTGAAACAAGAAGTTCTCTCACATATTTACAGAGTAATCCTGACCTGCTGTCCTAGGTTATGATTTAAGATGTGCCCAAAAGTATGTATTCTATCACCATCTTCATGAGCTGTTGAGACCAAGTGGGGCAATGTTTTCCTTGCCTCCTCCTCCCAGACTATTTTCTGTTAATGGGCCGACTTGCGTATGACTCGTGGATCACTCCCTCCAGGAGCTATCGCTGTTTGATGGGCAATCAAGGATCCACAGAACAACACCAGCCCCATGTGAGATGCTCCAGCCGGGAGAGGAGGGGCGCCTCACGACAGCACCCGCGCGCGGAAAGCGGCGGCGGCGGTGGTCGGGCTCTTGCAGTCACCGGGGGAGACAGACGGGCACTTCTGGCTGCTGCTGGACTAGTTGGGACAGAGCAGGCACTCGAGGGTTGCTTCGGGGCTTTTTCCTCCCAGACCTGCGAGGCCTGGGCCAGCCAGCGTTGACACTACAGAGGAGCGTTTTTTTTCCTTCTCCGCCGGGTTCCCCGAGGAAGACCGGGCCATCTGCAGCACCGCCGGCCCTTCGGAGGGGCCCGCGCCCTTCGGCGGGGGCGCTGCCTCTGCGGG